TTCCTGGGCTCCCTGTGGTCTCGCGCGACCATGACGTAATCTGACGCGTGCTCGTGGAGGTATTGTGGGAAATCTGGACAACTGCGTGTACAAATATGTTTTGACCAAAAAGTCAATCAGACTATGTAGGTTTCGTAACGGTTGCACTTTTTTGCATCACTGAAAATGCCTGAATTATTTGTTCGTATAATTATTACAAGAAATAAAACAAAATAAAATGTCATTTTCTCAATCAATTGGATATAATTTTTGGATTTTTAAAGGAATATACCATTGTGTGCGTGTAGTTTTGAGTTCGAGGACAGTGAGGAACAATCTAATTACTAGTCTACAAAATGAACAATTAATTTGACAATTTATAATTGTAATATTTGTTTATATTCCCGTATAAAGCGTTATTTCATCCAAACAGTGCCTCATATGGTACCATGGGTGACTTGAATACTGTACAAGTAGGAAGGTACAAGGCGCTATATCTCACAGGTACCAACTTGAATTTATAATATTTATTTAAATGGTGAGAAAAATTATTCAATATTTAACCTTCTGACTGGAAGACTTTTTCAAGATTTCTAGAGTTATTTACAACATGACACAACATCTTGTTGCCGATCTACGCTGTCGAAGTCTGATTATATTCATGCTATAATACGTCACATGACGTCACGCCAAATTACATCACATCACATGACGTCACGTTACAATACATTACGTCACTGCAATGTGATTCTTTTCATAGACGTCCTGCTTTGCCCTATCACCGTCCCTCAACACCGGTGGCCCAATACATTCTCGTTTCATGGATCAAACATCTATACATGATTCTTGAATTATGTTTTGTGAACGTAATTCATGATGACTCTCCTGGGTTCTGCATTTCGCCATAACATTTTTATATTACAAATACCAAATTCAATTTGGTTTCACATTCCCAGACACTCACAATACATATGTTGGCCACGAGTAATATAAAGCATCTTCGAATAGTGCAAGTGACCTGTGAGGGCATTAATCCGAAATAGTCAGGCAAATGCCCTGTTAATGAATACACAATGTTTCTGGATATAAAACCATTCAGTAAGAGTCAACAAAGGGTGGAATATTTGAGGTTCCATAAACCTGGGTCACAGGAAATAAACACTGTTTAAACTGTATGATTGCACATAGTACTTTCATTACTGTTACATATTTAGTTACTCCTCCACATCACGGTTTTTTAGTAACCGTGACCACATAAATAAGTTTAAACTTTAAAGCGGGGGGGGGGGGGGTGGTCACCTGCGCACGCGCGAGAATTGAGTCCAAATCGACGATAACAACGCACACCAAAAACGCAAAGGCTCATGGGCAGACGTGTGTTTGTAAACAATGACACGCTATGCCCATCTGCCGCATGAGCAGGTGACGGCTCCTCCGCTTTAACTCGGAGCCAAGTTCTTCCATAAACCGATTTTCGTCCGTTTTTGCATTCTCTACAATTATAAATGATGCATACTACTGAATAATACAAATAGATTGAAATTACAGATTGAAATCATAATGTAATATATCGGTAATCATAATTCAAATTTATTCCAGGTCAGGATTTCGCTCCTGCCGCTGCATGCGGTGGTAAAACAGGTCCAGTACAATGGCATAGCCTTCCGCTTATATTTAACATTGACACAGATCCAGCAGAGAGTTCACCCCTGAATCAAACATCGGCGGAGTACAAGGCAGCACTCGTGGATATACATAATGCACTGATATTTATCATGGATGATATTGTCAATGACAACACGACGATAACAAACTGGAAGACGGAACCAAGCTGCTTGCCATGCTGTAATCACAATCACGTGGCATGTCAATGTAAAGACTGACGTCACTCTCCATTTTGCGTGGTCTCTGGCGTGGACAATCTTAGGTCACACATCTGAATTGGGAAACGGGAGGCTGGAGCTGTCCAACTATATTTTAATAAAAAATATATCTTATTATAATGATGATAGAGTGTTGTTTTATGTGACTCGTGTAGGAATCTCCTATCTGCTTAAAGATCGGCGATTGTCGCGCCGCGCTCTGTTTGATATGGGACTCTTAGTGACGTACACAAATTCGAAGACGCGCTGCACGGCGACCACCACCCTCTAATTTATCATAAACTTTAGTGGCAACATATTACTTCAAATGAAAGTACAGAATGCGATCTGGCCATACTATTATATCTGTGAGTGTTACATCACGGTTACATCTACTCAAACTCGAAATATGTCACATAGATTGTTGCCGTAGTCAGTGGAATGCCAAATTAATAATGGCCACTTATAGCACTGATGTCGATAAATAAAAACTATGACAATATCCTCATCAACGCAGAAATGTAAATATCCATTACTAAATCCACGCTGACATTGAGTCGTGCCAGTGCGCCAACTAGTCGTAAACTGGCGTGAAGTGTGCGTAACCCGTCGTGACTGCGTGCCATGTCGGGACGAGAATTTTGAAATGTTCAAAATTTTGGTCACGACAAAATTTCGCGACCGGGTCGTGAACTATGCGCAAACTGTTCGTGAACTCGTCGGGACGATGCGGGAGGATGCGTGCCAGTGCGTGGACGGTCTATGAATAGCGTCATCACTCCTTCTCTTTTCTAGCTCCATGTTCAGACGGAACTTGGACAGACCAGTTATCAAATTAAAGTTTTTGATATTGATGAGCTATGGTTCCATACTGATATTGAATTTAAATTTTATGTAAATTCTGAGTTTGTTTTTCACGAATATCACGGGGTGTAAATTCATGTTTGAGGTTGGACTTGATAATTGTTTCTGCTGAAGCTAATTTATCACGAAATGACGCCAGGCAAAGCCCGTTTTATACCCGATATTTAGGGCATTTCGCAGCACATACAAGTTGTTTTTATCGACAGAATTTATTCATAGATCTCAAATTTTACGTATAAAGCCATACCTCTGCTCCATTCCTGTTTAATAATCTTCAGCAAGTCTGTAATTTTCAAATACCACTTGGTTTTGGGGCTTTTATTAACTGAAAAAGCTTCTATAAAAAAAAAACTTTTTTTGAGTATTTTGAATGCGGTTGTAATATTTTATTAATTGATTTTTAATAAATATATCCAAAGGGTATCTTCCTAACTCGCTGTAAATTCCCATAATTGGGGTTCTTTGAGAGACTCGAAGAAGACATCGACAGTAGTGATCACTCATGTCCTCAACTGGTGAGTTGGATGAGAACACGTCACCCCACACATCACTACCATAAAAAAGAATCGATCTTATTAATTTGTTAAAAAGTGATAGTGACAAGGTGATGGACAAACTGTTTAATGCGCCTAATTTAGTTTGAGAGAAAACTGTGTTTTTTTAGCCTCTCTCTTAAGGTGCTTTAGAGCTTCTTTAAATTTTCCATTTGCACTGATTATTAAGCCCAGATCATAATTAAATGTTTTGACTGTCACAATTTCACTGCTCCTCTTGAAGGAAAGTGTCATTGTTCAGACATCTGTTTGATTTGTTAAAAACTAATACTTTTGTTTTTTCTGGCTTTACAGTTAATTGCCATTTATTAACATATTCTGACAAGTTATCCAGACATGATTGTAGTCCATGCTTTGTTCTAGAAAGAAGGCAGTTCTAAGGAGTTTACAGGCGGCTTTTCAAGAATTTGAGGATCATAATCGGAATTGAAGCTGTTGGGAAGGTCATTTAGAAAAAGGTTAAACAGAGTTGGACTGAGATTACAGCCTTGTCTGACACCAATATTGGAGTTAACTGGTTCTGTCAGACCTTCTTTACATTTAACTTTATACTTAATTTTAATATATACATGTTTTAATAATGTTATAACATGTGGCCAGTAATACCATTATTAAGAAGTTTAAGAAACAGGCCATTATGCCAAACACTATCAAAGGCCTTTCGAAGATCAATAAAGCAGGCATACAAATTTATTGCCCTTTTTATTGTCATGCTAAATGTATTTGTTAATAAGCTTTTTTAAAATGAAAACATAAACATGACTGAAAGTCATTTTGAACAGCCAAAACGACTGTTTGAATCATGGTTTCCCGTCGCTTTTACGCGGAAATTATAATGGCATCGCTCCGAACTTGTAAATTAACATCGAAATTGTATCCCGAATATATCCATGTTTGTGCGCGGCATGAAAATAACACACCACATGGCGTTAAGATTGTCGAAAAAAATATTTTGCGGAGCACTACGAAGCGATGTTTCACGCTTGAGTGCATTTGCATACTGGAAACTGGCGGCCATATTCCTTTTTATAACCCAGAGTTATAGTTTTCTGATCAATACGAATACCAATATAATGGAAAAAAATCGCATATAGGGTTCTGTCAAAGATAAAAATCGAGCTGAACCGACTGGCGGCGAGGGCGCTGTCACAAAACTACTTGCGTAATAATTTTCCCAGAATGCCTTGGGCGCCATTTAACAGTTATTTTGTTGAAATATGTTGTTTCTGTTTAATCAAAACCATTTACCTCCATTATTTATCATACATAAAATGTCAGAAATATTGACGCATGGCCATATGACATATATAATAAATATATAAATAGTCAATGCAAAGTAAAGATCTTTTAATCACGACTCACCAGGGATTGAGTTGTGCTTCAATTCATACTAGTATCGATGGAGTCCAACGATTGAGTATACTTACCTGGCGTAGGGGTTAACCGTGATCAAGGAGGCGGTTCCCTCAGGGAGAGGCCTTCCCATTGCACTCCGGCTGGGCTGACACCTGCGATCACCCCAAATGTGGGTGACTCGGGCGCATAATTTATGTTAGTGGGGGACTGCGTACGCGCTATCCCCTGATAATTAAATTAAGAATAGAAATGACAGTAATCTCGTTGTAGAAGTTGTTCGACGGGATTCGTTTCCGCACAAGCGGTTCTAACCAGATAGTCTACATGAACGTAAAACTGAATTCTGGGCTAAGTAAGTGGACCAACTGAGCTACTTGAGTGAGATATATGTGCAATGCATCCTCCCAAACTCTTTGGAGAAGTAGAGATGGCGACTTTTGTAAAGGAAAATCATCGGGAATAACTACTGTTTTTAGGTCGATGGTTATACTACCAACACAAGTGAGGGAAACTAATAATTAGTACAATTTTTCTACAATCTTCCTTTCATTGTAGTCAATTCCTCCCTTAAATATAATGGTAAATATGTGTATACTGAAATTCGGATACAGACTGAACATACCATGACCAGACATGAATTACAAGACGAACCTTAAAATACCAGGGAGTGAGCATTGATTCACGGGAGGGGGGTGGTGGTGTCGCCAGTGCATCAGTGACCTGTTATATTGGCTTAGAGGGCTCCCTGGTTATGGATATGGTAAAAGCAATTGATCCACAAGATCACATCTCAAACTGTATAAACTGGACAATGAGCATTACCCCCTGAATGTTACACATTGGGTAGTTTCTGGGAATAATTTTTAATAGCATACCACAGGGAGCCATTTGACTCCTATTTGATATTTTTTTAGATTTTATTTTTCATTCTTTTCGTCTGTTTTTTTGAGTTTAAAAAATGTGAGCTGGCTGGAGCCTTCATCCCTCGTCTATTTCTTTAAAACTAGACACCAGGCCCCCCCCCCTCATAGAGACTGCGTACTACAGTTGATTATAGTTCCTGGGCTCCCTGTGAGCATACATGTGCTAGATTCAACAGCTTGAACTTCAATAAAAACTGCATTTTGGTGGAAAATAATTG